AACACTATATATTGAAAGTCTCACATAAGAACTTGTGATAATTAATAGGGGGTCGATTTTTAGACCTCGTCGACTCCCAAAATCAGTTTTAGTTTACGTCGACCCCTGGAAAACCGATTTCGACCCCAGGGGGTTGATATCGACCCTTTGGGAATCTCTGAATTAGATGGAGCATGGATGGACACCAATCTCATAACGGAAACCTGTTTAATAATTTTGGTGGAACTTTAAGAAATCTATGCTCATTGCAACCTAAGGTGAGGCCTCTGTCCAGCACTGGACTAGTTAAGGGTGTTGATGATGCCATCCATTACATACTAAAATGTATAAGTATGTGTGTTCATAAAAAAAACAATATCGTGTCGATATCGTGATACAGTAAATAGTCAATTGTAAGTACGAAATTTAGGACGAATATTTGTGACACACAACCAATCACGTACCATTTTTCTCCGATGCTAACATAACGCCTAACTTTCACACCACTTTTCTTTCTAGAAAGTGACGCTGCCTTCTCTGATGTCTAGAGCTTACAGGTAGTTTTAAGTGAAAATATTATTATTAGTTGAGTGCCGTTACGAGTATATCCGCGTTTTACTACAGAGACCTCTAAATAGCGTTAATGTAATAATTCAAGCCTTTTCTTTATTTTTATTACCATTATTATTAGTAAATTGCAATAAACGTTACCGTTGAACAAACAGCCTAAATACACTAAGCGATTGTCTTTAATAATTATATTAACAAAATATATATCTAAATTAAATATCTTACCTTACAAGTCATTATACTATTCGTTCGTCTTGGAGCTTGTGTTCGATGTGTAACACTAGATTTAATTCGCAACAATAAATTCATAATGTAGCTGTCGAAATAAATTAAAGCAGAAAGCTTATTCACAATAATAAATTATTTATTGGAGTATCTAAGACTCAAAGATGTTAGTGAGTTTTGGACCCTATGTGCCGATTTTCATTTATCCCTTTTTTAAGAAACATTATAAGAGTAGTCATGTAAACATTCAATGTACAACTGGTAAACGACTACTAAGTATAATTCAATAGTACGTAATAGTGATGTGCCGGATATCCGTATCCGTATCCGTATCCGCGGATATCCAAGGGAGAAGAGAGATCGTATCCGTATCCGTGACTTTTTTGGCGGATCTTTCAATACATATTACATAGATGAAATTCTATATAGGTGATTTTGTATTCACTGTAAAACTCTTAGATATGTGTTTGTAACACTATAAACAGCAACTTTTTTTCTGGCCAACGTTAACATGAAAAAAAATTGGTTCTCCATTCAAATGACCAATCAAATATAATATTATAATATAATATTCTAATATAATATAATATTCTACCACATACACACAACGCCATCTAGTCCCAAACTAAGCAGAGCTTGTACTATGGGTACTAGACAACTGATATAAATACATATATACTTTTTTTTTTTGTAAATACATACATATTATACATAGAAACACCCAGACCAAATCAAACATCAAATGTTCATGCACACAAATGTTTGACTTGAGCGGGAATCGAACCCGCGACCTTTGGAATAGCAGTCCGTTACACAAACCACTACGCCATCCAGTCGTCAAGTCGTCAAATGTTGTTAGTTTGTAAGGAGAAACAATTTTTTTTCTTTCGTTTTCGGTGTTAGTCCAGAAGAAAAGTTGTTGTTTATAATGTTACTAATATGCACTTAAGAGGTTTTCAGTAAATTTAAAATAACCCTGAATAATGGTTATTAGGTAGCTATGAAAAACCATTGAATTCTGTTAAGATTACTTTTTATTTCTTAAAACAAATATTTGGCACCTTTGTATTGCAATATTTGCAATCATTTATCGTACTACACTAAATCAACTAGGCAGATCGTAGGTACTGAAAGAGCTATCTTTATAATGAGATCAATCAAACATCTTTGTATTAGCTTATTAAAATAATGAAATATTTAAATATCAACGGCAAAGCGTCAAGTGGCGACAACTATCAAGGTCACGGGCTCCGATTGAGTAAGAAACTTAAGATCCGTATCCGTATCCGCGGATCTTGACACCAAATATCCGGATTCGGATCCGTATTCGCGGATATACTTTGTTAACGATCCGGCACATCACTAGTACGTAACATACACCTACTAACGCAAAGTAAATTTTTGGAACGAAGTTCCTTATCGCGCGTTGTGAAAGGGGGCTAGACGGAAAAAATTCATACAAAATTTTGGGACGCGACACTTTTTTATTAATATAAATTGACGTCTAACTGTGGATACCATACATTAAATCTGCTTTAACGTTCGCCAACGTCCATACCATGTTGAATACACCGGTTCTCGTCCGATCACCGAAGTTAAGCAACATCGGGCGTGGTTAGTACTTGGATGGGTGACCGCCTGGGAATACCACGTGATGTTGGCTTTTTGCTCTTTATTTAATTTTTTACCGCAGGTTTTTTTTTTTTTGGTGTATTTCGTATTTTGTTTTCGTATTTTATTTTTCTTTGAATTTGAATTGTATAGTTTTTTTTTTGTGTAAGTATGTAAATGTGAGTATAGTGTAGGCTTGTAATGTTAATTCATATTTTATTATCTTTCTGGTGGTTTTGAGTGTTTCCACGGCCTACCCAAATGTCAACATGATATTTTTTTCTTGAAATTTTGAATTTAGGAAATAAAACTAAGTAAATATATTTCAAAACACTTTAATGATCAAAAGAAGTTGATGCTATGTACACTATTACCCAGATTTCAGTCAAAGTTTTTTTAAAATTAAAGTAAATCTTATTATAACATACAACGTAAGCCATGAATTTGATGAAAGTATGAACTATGATTAGTAATAATATTTTTTCGTGTCATCTTGTCAGACATTTAGCGCCATCTATCGAATAGATAGGAAATCATTTCGCAAGGAGATTTTACCAATGTATAAATTGTTTTAATTGTTTTTAACATGTAGGTAATAGCCTCTTTCATAGATGGCGTTGTAATTAATATCGTGTCAAATCAGTTTTAACTTTAAACAACTTCGTTCCTATCGGGTGTCCCACGACACCACACGGCTTTTTTATTCTGTATCAATTATTGTATTGTATTTGTTTTTTTCTTGTTGTAAAGCTCAGGGTCAGAAAGAGTATGTCCTTACCTTTAAACTAATTTTTATCTAATTCTATGAAGGCATCTCTCTGCACATTTACAATATTACTAATGATTCCGTCGACGTTGCAAAATCTGTTTGGCATTAACTGTAAAGCTTCAACTTCCTTCGCGACATTCTATGAACGAGAACAAGCTCGAGAATACTTGTTAGTCAGTTCTTGTGAGATTCATCAACAAAATGTAGCTTCTGATAATTATTCTTAAACGAGGCCTTTAAGTGTATGTGTTTAGAAAACTATTAGTATTCGCTAATAGTTTTCCAAACACATAAAAGTTATTCCAAATTTATTCAAACTTAAGATAACCTATTTATATGCTTATAACTATTACTTTCAAGCCTTACTTAAAATAAAATAAACGATGTTCAGGATTCTAGGATTGCATGATTGTCTTAAAATCTAATCTTTCTATTAATTTAGATTAGTAAGACAAAACTACGAGATGAATAATACTCTGCCCAATCACGCGTAGTAAGCGGTAGTAGCGCAATGACAAGACATACTTATGATCCAGCGGTTGCGGAATCAAACTCCACCCAGTACGCTACGGCTCCTGCTACAAGATTGTTACGTTCGTCAAGTATTTAATCAAAATTAATTCAATTTTAAAATTTCCAATATTTTTTGGTTTTTTTTTTTGTTATGTATGTTTAGAGCTATGTTCAATTTTAAGTGTATCTTGGTCCCCTGACTAATTATGCAAACGAGCATACAGGTCACCTGATGGTAAGCAACTGCCGCCGTCTATGAAAACCTGCAACTCAAAAGTCACAAGTGCGTTGCCGCCCTTGGAGTCCCTCCCGCTGACTCGAGCGGGGGGATTTGGGCTCCGGTAACCTCACTCACTCAGTGAAAGGCAAGGAAAGAATTGCTTAACACCGGTTTTCTGTGAGGCCGTGGTATCACTCCGGTCGAGCCGGCCCATTAGTGCCGAAGCATGGCTCTCCCACGGTGAATGTGAAGGTTACTAGTACTAGTTGGAATCTTAGCGCACTCCTTAAAAAATATTTCACATATATATTTTTCGGACATCTGTCACACAACGCCATCCTCACATGTTTGCCATCAGGCTAAAGGACAATTTCGAGATCCTGCATACACCCTCACACTTAGCTATTATAGTCTTTAAAATAAATAAAAGCATGAGTAAAATACTATTTCTGTTTTAGGATTTTTTAATAAGTACCTAACTAAAATCTAATATATATATATGTAAAGTCATATTAAATTAGAGATATAAATGGCAAAGCTTACCTTTAATTTTACGAAACTGTAAAAGCAACACGATTAAATAATTTAACATTTACATTCCCAAACAATGAATGATGATATCATTATTATCTTTAATTCTTATCCTCCATAAAAAAATGTGAATTTCACACCACCAAGAAAAGTCCAAATATATTGTTTGCGTTCTAAAAAGGTAACATTCCAAAAAAAGCAATGTTATGTATATAAAGTCACGTAACGGTTTCCGTTTTGTACAAAAGTCAAAACTACGAGGGTTACTTATTATGCGGCAATAGAAATGCTGGTGCGGTCCGTTCCCTCCGAGCGTCGCGCATTCATGGCATTTCATTGTACGGCAGTCGCGGCCTCGCCACCGCGGGGGGATCGCGTGCTTGCGTTGCTATGCTGTGCCGTAAACACACTCCTCTGTTTACTACACGTTTTATAATCGTACTCGTTATCGAATTGCCTTCGTGTACTACACACGTTCAAAACAGCTGAAGATGACTGTGCGCGACGTACGAACTAGACTTTCATTCATAAAACTCTATTTTGACAAGTGATGAAAATGATATGGACACAGTGCCGTTTAAAATGATAATTAACGCGATATTCTTTTGTTTAGTGATGGGCGCGGCGCTTACGGAAGCGCCTGACGATGCAGATGTCTGTTTCCGTGTGTCCGGTGAGAATGGTTTGGTGGAGTGCGATGTACGAACACTGTCGTCGGACAGGGATATCGTCGGTTCGATGCACTTGGATGGCGCGGAACGACTCGCGATTCGTTGCAAACAAGAACTGCTCGAGAGCTCTTTGCGAGATCATCACTTCGGAAGAATGCAAGGTTTGGCAGAGATATCTATAAAAAACTGCAAAATACTACGCTTACCTGGCAACGTTTTCGAAGGGCTACGAGGTCTGAAATCACTGAAGATTCGCTCAATGAACAATGAATGGGGCAACAATAAGGAATTGGATCTATCTCTAGGAGCTTTTAACGGCTTGAGGGAGCTACATACTTTAGATTTAAGCTACAACAACATAAGAAAGATACCATCAGACTTATTTTGCGCCTTAGAAAATATTATTTCACTAAATTTGACGCACAACAAAATAAAGTTTGTCGATGAACTCGGTTTTGGTCACAAATGCGGGTCCACATTACAGACTATTGACTTAAGTCATAATGACATCATGTCGCTGCCAGCTGACTCAGAAATTTTGCATTTGCGACGGCTGACACAGTTATTCCTTCAAAATAATAAAATAAGTGAACTACCGGGGGAAGTTTTTAGTGATTTACTATCTTTGAAAGTTGTAAACCTTTCTGATAATGCTATAAGTTATTTGCCAGAAGGATTATTTTATAATACTAGGGAAATTCGTGAAATTTATATGCAAAATAATGAACTGGAAACATTGCCGAAGAGAATATTTAATCGACTGGAACAATTGCTCGTTTTAGATCTTTCGGCGAATAAATTGAGGAGCGACCACATAGAAGATGAAACGTTCGGTGGTCTAATAAGATTAATCGTGCTCGACCTGTCCCATAATACGGTCGCACGGATCACGCGAAATATGTTTAAAGACTTGTTCTTTTTGCAAATTTTAAATCTATACAATAACTCAATTGGATCCATTGAGGATAATGCATTTACACCGCTTTTTAACCTACACACATTGAACCTAGGCCAAAATAAGTTACAAGGTATAGAAGACCATGTGTTTAATGGATTGTTCATATTAAATAAAATAAATTTAAACAATAATATGTTATCTTATATCAGCGAGAATGCATTTGCAAACTGTTCAGATTTAAAAGAATTAGATTTAAGTTCTAATAAGTTCACTAAGGTTCCTGAAGCAATTTTGCAATTACCGTTTTTGAAGTCGCTGGATATAGGTGAAAATATGTTGACAGAGATAACTAATAGTTCATTTCAAAATCTATCGCAACTGACCGGGTTACGTTTAATTGACAATCAAATCGGAAACCTTACTGCTGGTATGTTCTGGGGCTTGCCGAGTCTGCAAGTGCTCAATTTGGCAAAAAATAAAGTACAGGCTATTGAAACCGAAACCTTTCAAAAGAATTCCCAATTGGAGGCCGTACGGTTAGATGGAAACTTTATTTCTGATATAAACGGAGTGTTTGTAGCATTGACAAAATTGTTATGGTTAAATTTATCCGAAAACCATTTAGTTTGGTTTGACTACGCCTTTGTGCCGGGAAGTTTGAAATGGTTGGATATTCATGCTAACTTTATAGAAATTCTGGGCAATTACTATAAAATTCAAAATGAACTCCATGTCAAAACATTAGATGCGAGTCATAATCGTTTAGTAACTCTGTCGGCGATGTCTATTCCAAATAGCGTAGAGCTATTGTTTATAAACAATAATTTAATTTCAAGCATCGAAACAGATACATTTCTAGAGAAGAAGAATTTAACTCGCGTTGATATGTATGCTAATGAAATCGAAAGTTTGGATATAAACAGTTTGCATGTTGCAAGAGTGGCTGATGAACGTTCTTTGCCTGAGTTTTACATTAGCGGCAATCCATTTCATTGTGATTGCACAATGAAATGGCTTTTACTCATTAATTCCATCACATCTAGACAATATCCACGCGTGATGGACTTAGAGAATGTTATTTGCAAGGAATCCTATGTACGCGGCGTGAAGTATCTCCCGGTCAGTTCTCTTCACATCAAAGACTTTTTGTGTAAATACGACGATTACTGTCCTGATGGTTGTCATTGTTGCGATTTCAATAACTGTAACTGTAAAATATTGTGCCCAAATAATTGTTCTTGTTATCACGACTCTGCCAAAAGCACGAACGTAATTGATTGTTCTGTTAAACAATTGAAATCAGTACCTCACAACTTTCCTGTCGACGCGACCCATATATATTTGGATGGCAATGTTTATAGCGAATTAAATGAATCTGTTTTTAAATCAATGAGTAAAGCTATCGTAGTGTATCTCAATTCCAGTAATATTGTAAGTATACATAACAATACGTTTAATCGACTCGAAGATCTAAGAATACTTCATTTGGATAATAACAAACTAAAACAATTACGGGGGCTTGAATTTTCAAAGCTATGTAACTTAAGAGAACTGTATCTTCAAAGTAATTTAATTGAGTACATTTCAAATAAAACTTTTACTGTTTTAGTAGCTCTAGAAATTTTACGCCTAGATGGCAACAGACTTGTGAACTACGGTCTGTGGCATTTAGACAATAATAAAAGGTTACAATCATTATTCATTGGCAGTAACAACTGGTCCTGCGATTGTGAATATTTACAAGGTTTTTTAACTTACGTATCACAAAATGTTGAGAAAATAATAGATATGCCTAAGCTCTGGTGTGTGAATGAGAACATGAACCCGGAAAAGAAGCCATTGAATTTAAATGTGACAGCTTGCAGTGAAATAAGCGATTCATCCATGATAAGCGCGTTCTTCGTCTCAAACAACTTGCCATTATTGGCCTCGGCTCTTACTGGGTTCATGCTTATATTATTAATATTAGCTTTAGTATTCACGTTTAGGTATGCCTGTAGAATGTGGTTGTATTCAAATTGTGGCATTAAATTGTCTCCTTTATCGAGTAGTTTTAAGGATGCCGATAAGCTTTATGATGCATATATTTGCTATAGCCCTAAAGATGAGGAATTTGTAGTAGAATCACTAGCTCGTGAACTGGAGACGGGCTATCCATCTTACCATCTCTGCCTACACTATCGAGATGTGCCGCAGTTTGAAGCGACATATGCACAATTTCCCGATTTAGTAGTCGAGGCCACCGAAGCGTCCAGGCGTATCATAGTAGTGCTAACAAAGAACTTTATCTCGACGGAGTGGTCGCAGATAGAGTTCCGACAAGCTTTACAAAAAGCGTTACAAAACCATCCACATAAATTAATTATAGTCAGCGTAGGGCTCATCCCACGAGATCCGGAGTTAAAGTCGTATTTCAAAACGGGTTTGGAGATAACATGGAAAGAGAAACGTTTTTGGGAAAGGTTACGTTATGCAATGCCATCATCTAAGCGACGTGGACAGAAGTTGAAAAGACTAAATTATGGAAGAAATTCTAACACATACACTATGGATGCATCGGTGTTAAACAGTACATGTCAAACTCTGTGCGGTAAGTCTGCAAATTCAGCGGAACGCTCACCATGCGATCGTCCTTTGTCTGAACATATCTATTCCACAATAGATTCAGATTATTCGTCCACAGACTTCCAAGGTCGACATCATCAACCACAGTCCCTAGTGTTTCAACACACTGTTCAAACGTACCTGGTATAAAGGACCTCTGTGAGTGTAAACGGTATAAATCCGAACGATCTCGTTACATCTTTATATCTTTAAGGCTTAGTCGTAGTCTTAGACAAACACTAAATAAAATGTTATGTTAAAGACGATAATCGTCCCAAGTTGTAAATATTTCTAGAACTTTATAATCTCTATAGCGTATGTGTAACTTTTGTACAATAACGATACCAAATTTTCGCATTTGAAAAGGTTTTGCTTCTTCGTATTTATTACTTTTTTAAATGAAAAATGTTTTAAGTATTAATCGGAAAGACTGTAAATTATTGTATAGTTGTAATTCAATTGGCTGATGTTTGCATAGATATGTAATTAAAGAAGTTTATAAACAGAAAAGTTGATTTTAATGTTACCAGTCCTTCGTTTCATTATAATATGATTTTATATAGAAGTTGTAAAAATCTGCGTATACAGAAGTTAAAAATAAAATACAAAATATGTATATTATTTTGTTTCCAATTCACTTTTTATGAGTTGGGCAGAAATGGAGCAGCTGGTTTATGTAAACAGAATAAATGCGAGGCAACAAGGCCGCCATCTATGCCTTCAATAGCTGGCTATATAATAAGCCTCACTCGCCTGCATTGGCTTTGAAATGCTCATTATCATTAAAACCTTTTCTCAGGTCTTGTGTTTGTAACGATTAAGTATAAATGAGATTAAAATAGACATATCAATAACTAGCTGTACCCTGCCACGCCTCGCTGTTGAGCCATCTTTGAGGCGTTTTGTATATCGTGTCAAAATTTTATCATAATCGGTGCAGAACTTTTACAGTTTTTGTAGCGAACATAAATCAACAACATTTTTATATATATAGATAGTTTATGTGACCTCTTGAAATTAAAAAACTACTGATATTCTTTAGAGCAAATATTGCATAGTCTTCGCCACACGTCTCCCTTAAATATCATGATAGTCTGACTTTTAAATTTAAACTAAATTAAACATTCTTTAACATTTAGCGTACAATTTTAATAATTCATGTAAACCAAATGTGTTTTACGAATAAATCTTCAGATGTAAAGAGCTGTATATTTCAAAAAAATAGAGTAATATATTACGTAAAAAGGTGATTCGATAAATAAAGGGAATATTTTGTGCAGGAAAAGCGGGTTACATAATGTGCGTAATCTGGTGTCCAATAAATAACAGCAAATCTCGGCAAGGCAACAAAAAGTATGCCGATTTATTTTTTTGCAACCATAACGGTTTTAGTGTTGATATTACAGTTACGTAACAATTCTATACGCGCATGTTTAGGAGCATTTGAAAGACATTTATTTTTGTTTTAAAGTTGATTCTTTTTAAACACAAAAACAATTTTCCAGACCGCCTTTTCCTACTCAAGAATAAAATGTTGATTGAATATATATACGTAAGTACGCCTATATCCTCAAATAAGTAGGCAGAAGCGTAGTAAACGCTAACAGTTGATGACTATAATTTAAGCAGCATAATTTCGAATATCGATGTTATGTGGCATACAAAAATAAATGTTTATGATTATGTGAAATATGGTTTTGATGTGTGTGCAATAGTCTCCTGCCTCTTGGTCCTGTTTCATAATCCAGTAAACTGAATATCTCTTGAAAAGCACGGTACGAGTCAGTCCCCAGATGAAGTACTGCTGTGTTCGCTCTGTACAAAGAAATGCTGAAAAAAAAACAGGAATTGCTAAGAGGGAATCACGTATGCCGATATAAAATCAGATGACCTATTCGTATATTTCTAATTTTTTTCTACCAAGTTTTTACTTTTACATTTAACCATTATTACTTGAATTATAACTTTTCTTGAAGTGTTTTTTATATTTTTTTTCAAATACAGTGCAATACAGTCAATAACTAACTTAAAAAATAACTGATTTCAATGCTGATCAATGATTCAATAAATGTATTAAATTCAATGAATTCATCCAAACTTTCTATCCTTAGTCGTGGAATATTTTCGTCATATTCAAATGAGTGGTCTCATTTAACTTCATCATTTAATTAAACTTAATATTGAAGTAAGTTCACAAATGGCAAAGATATCGCGAATAAATATCAAATAAATAAACACCAAAAAAAAAAATCAAATGGCAAACTCATGTTTGTTTAAGGTCGACAAAAAAAATGTGCTATAGATATTCAATATCCTATTAGGCACTGTTAATTCTTATAATAATGAATGACAATTTGTAAAAGAAACTTTCCGTAGGCTACACAGGTTAAACTATATTAAAGCATACACAAAAAAATAACTTCATTACTAAATTGAATATTCGAAGCAACACAATACGCATTGTCGGACAGTTGTAAATGACAAAAGAGAGGGTCGGAAACGAGTTTTTAAAAACCTCTAATTAACGTTAATCCAGTAGGGCGTTTCATTAATTGCTTGAATGTGTGAGCCGAGTCAACATATTTTTATAAACGAATAAAGAGTGTTCTGTAAATGCTAAATACCGTTTCATTAATCAACCGCTGATTCATTTATTTGTGTACATATTTTGAAACTATATTCTTTTATTTGAATTAATGTCTATATAGATACATTAGGTACAGATATATTTTATACAACGAAGACATTTATTAAAGAGTTTTTTTTTTATTTAGCTGAAAACGAATTTAGCAATCATTGTTTTTGCATGTGATTTCTTGTAGAAAGTTCATAGGCTATTTAATATTAAAACATTAGGTCTTTTTCTATGAAATTGCCGTTTTGTATGCAATAAGTGAAAGTACTTATTTTTTCAAACTTTTTTATTTCTATTACTCTAAGTAATTACCCATGCAATCGACGCATCTTTGCCAACGCATTGGCAGTTTATTGAGGCCCTTCTTGTAAAAATCAGCTGGACGGGAGGCAACAAACTCTTCAAAGGCATTTTGTACTGCCTCTCGGGAATTGAATTTTTTACCCACTAAAAAGTTGTCTAAATTTTGGAAAAAGTAATAGTCGGTAGGTGCAAGGTCTGGTGGTTTCATAGGTAAAGACCTACTACGTCACTTAGAAGCGGAGCAGCGACCATAAAGGCCTAATTAATCTTCCCATAGGAACTTTTATTTGAAAATTGATAATAAGAACATAACTGTTTTTTCGTTTCAAGCTTGCAAAGGATATCTCAAAGAATTCAAAGAAATCATGTCCCCTTACATGATAAAAGTTAATAACTTCACTTAATTCTTAGTTAGGAGATAGCGAAGAAAACAGCACAACTCGGTGGATGTGGAGTTAATTGGTACTTAAGTTCCGGGATGGTCAACCATTAACGACACAACTTAACTCATGTGATGGTGGTTCTGGATGTATAGTATATTTTGAGATATAAGACATTGATGTAGTAAAATATATTAATTAATATAAAAGCAAAATATATTTCATACTCATTATAACCTCCCCTATAAATTTTGCTGTCTCGCATTCTGATCATTCGCTCTTCTTGACTATGGACACTATGAGTTTAATAGCTTACAAACTTAAGGTATCTTAACACAAAGTACTTATGTAAGATAACATAACAATGTACGTTGTATATATGTTTATATCACTGCGATTTTTTAACGTGCAGATACAATTATTTTTGCTTTTGATTATATTTATCTGGAGTGAGTAACGTTTGAAATAATAACAATAAATAATAATAACAAAATTAATAATAACAACAAAAGTTCTAATGATTGATCAAATGATATAACGCATTATTGATAACTTTCATTTTACTTAATTTTATATGGTCTAATGAAAATTTTCTATAATGCTCATTTGAACTAATATTCAAGAATTATAATATTCAACATCTATAAGTTACGATTAATTTAGGATTGTTTACTTTGTTGAGGTTAGGTTAGCTCTCTTCTGTAAGAAAAATAGATTCTTACATCATTTACGTCAGAGGAGGTTAAAAGTTCCTGATATTCACTCAGAATGTTGGCTGAGAATGAGTAAATATGAAAATCAGGTCAAATTATCTTTATATAAAAATTGAAAATGATATGAAATGAACGGTATACTAATTGTTATTAGAGATAATAAAGGTTAAATGAAATGTAGCATTATATCCCATGAAATTAGTGATTTTTTTGTTTTTATATCGTGAAAATTTATAATGCGAAAGTGTATTTAAAGTGATATTATAGTATCTGTTATTATGTCAGATATTACACACGCATTCATCTGTCCGCATTTATCAGCTATAATAAATTTCCAATTCTGCGGAAGAACGTTTTAATTATTTATATATATTTATTTACATGTAATTATAATTGGACTTATATTTTTTGCAATTGGAGTTGCAAGTAAAGGGAACTACTTCAACCCTGCAGAAGACCGCAGCTTCGTAATATTATTTACCTCCAAATGAGCATGGTTCCTAAAGGTAAACGTTGAACGGAAGACTTGGTAACGCAGTCGAGGTATAGCTGCATCGCTTGGTAGTGTAAGTTCATAGGAAGTTGTAACTCTTTTCTAAGGTTAAAGCAATTTTGTGTCATCTATACCTTTTCATGTTCACGTCAACAGATTAAGGTAAAACAGCTCGTGGAACTTTCCTACAACAGTTATAAAACATAATCTTTATTTCCTAAACAATACACAAGGCTCTGCGAACAGAATTTACCGCTTACTCTAACTTTGAACAGAGACTAGTTGTTCCAGGAATAGGCTTTCTATTAATATTTGTTTGCTTTTATCGATCTGTTTGCTTTACTAATTAAGACTAAGCGTTTTCTATGGAATGTCTTAGTGGTTGGGTCTTTGGTATTAATTCAAGATAGAAAAATTAAAAGTAGTAAGTATATTTTTGGATTGGTATATTTTTTCTGTGTGGTGACGGATTAAGAATACAGAGTGTCACCACCCCTATTCATCCCGTGGGTGTCGTAAGAGGCGACTAAGGGAGCGAAATACGCAGGACACCAGCACTGGAGAGAGAAGGAAAACTTGACACAAACCCTATACCAACCCGTCTGGCCAGCGTGGTATAGTAGGCC